TGGATAGCCATCGCGCGTCGTTTATATTTTTCTATTAGAAAATTTTTGGTGATATGTTGGTGATCACTATTTTTATCGTCTATCTATTTTTAGTACTTGTGTCTTGATTTTATAATGCAAAGTAAAGTAAGCCCAGTGGATTTTTTTCTCAAATTTTTATTATATACTAGGTTACCTTTTAACGTTTAGTATAGATTTCTTAGAGATGAAATATTTTTCCGCAGTAAAAAGTATCCTATAAGTTGATCCGGATAACCAGTTATCATTATAGGAAATTTCATCAAAATCTGTCCAGTGGTTTTCTCGTGATAATTTTCAGACAGGCATAAGACAGATAGACAAAAATTCAAAAAAATTGAGATTCCGCCTCTGTATCTATTTTATGACTATTTCAATAAGATTTTCCAAAAAATATTTAATGTAAAGATTCGACTCAGAATTTTATTACATGTATAGATTATGATCGAATTTTGACCACTAGGCGAACAGTAGTTTTCATAATTCTTTTGTTTAATAATAAAGTATAATTATAAAGACCACTAATTTAATTTAAAAAAATCTAACCCTGGCCGTCAATGTACGCCTTTTCAATTAGAATTAATTATATTTCAAATTTATAAATCTTATTATCTATACAGAACAGATAAATAAAATTGAAGTATCTGTTTGTAATGTCAAAATAACAACTTTTTACTAAATGCATATAAAATTACTTATAAGAAAAACAAATTTTTAAAATGTTTGTATGTCTGTTTGTTCCGGCTAATCTCCGAAACAGATTTTGACGGTACTTTCACTGGCAGATAGCTGATGTTATAAAAAGTAACTTTGGCTACGTTTATTTCAGAAAAAGAATTAGGGTTCCGCTCAAAAAAATTAAAACGTAACATAAGTAGCTAGTATTATTATATAATACATACATTGTATAAAAAAATTGTTGTTCTAAAACAAGGCTAACTCAAACTCTTTGTTCCGCACTAAGCGACTCATTAAGGATTAAACTGAAGCTCAACCGAAGTTGTTTTCAAGAAGGTGTAATCACTGCTTACAATTTGTTTTAAATGGACTTGTTTTGGTTAGCTTTTGTAAAGTTATTTACGTAAATAGAATGAACAGCAGACTTGATCACATTTAAAGTAATAAATAAGCATGTCTTGAAAAATGCTCAAAGCATTTTTAGCATGATTTAGAGTTTTTTTTTAACTTTTCAATCATAAAAACCAGTTGACTGCGAATCGGAAATGTGTATCGAGGGTTGTACCTGCTTATCAAGATTTAAAATTAATTATTTACTATACAATCGATATTTTTGTGTTGCACTAGCGATTCACCCGACGTTGCCCGGATACCTCTTTTAATGTGACACTTCACTAAAAACAACTTTCACCCCATACCATTACAGTATACTTATATAATTCAATAAAAAATAATTAACTCGATGTTATTTTTTGTGTATTTTCAATATTTTTAAACTAAAGTGTAATATGGATTGAAAGTTTGCACAAAACTAAGGTAACTTGAAAAGTAACCAAATAAGCGATATTTTAAAGCACTCTTCTCAAAACTATATTTAAACGATGAAATTATATTGTATTCAGCCCTTTTAACGTCCCATTGCTGGCGTGGGCTTTCCTCAATTGGAGGGGGATCAGTCCGTAGTCCACCACGCTGGCCAAGTGTGGGTTGAAGAACTTCACATGTCTTTCGAAAACTTGCTAGTTTCTCTCAATCATGCAGTTTTCCTTCACCGTCATGTAAGTGATAATCCAGTTGAATATCAGAGTTGTAAGACCCAGGAATTAAACCCACTTCACTCGGTTCCCCAAGCGAGCGTGTTACTACTGAGCTACCACTGGTTAATTATAATAAAATTTCAAAAGTAAATGTTACCGGACCAGTTATTTTTATTGAACATTTTCGCACGTAACAAAATATCGTAAGTCACATTTTGTAAGATTTCAGTATAAGGAAATTACTTTTAAATTCAACAAGTTTTATAATTTAACAGATTTGAATGAAAAAGAGCGTGACGACAACTCTCCCGTGACGACGAACTCTGAACCGACGCTAGATCGAATTCAATCTTAACTTTTACGAACAAACGTAACTTAAATTTATATATTTCTGTAAGATAAAACAAGATAATAGGTGGTGGTAGTTCAGTGGTTATACTCTTGCTTGGGAAACCAAATGAAGTGGGTTCAAATCTCGGTTCTCGCACTTCTGATACTTTCATTTGTGAATTTTCAACATGCTTGCTATTTGCCTTGCAGTTAAGAAAAACTTGAGGAAACCTGCTTTACCACAGTCGTTTAAAAAGAAAAAAATACTTCTGGAACACGCGTTTCTAATAAAAACAAATTTCAAAAATATTTTCAAGTGAAGGGTTCTATTATATGATGGAATTACTGTTAAAGTAATACTTTCTAAAATTTACGCGAATATTTGACAGTTTAAATAAAACTATGTATCTTTTCGGATTTTTTCGCGGATTTATTTTGATTTTTGGTTACCGAAGTTTCGAACGCTTTACAACAATAATGGTCACGGGAGAAACAGCAATCATGGTTCTCACGTGACCATGATTGCTGTAAAGCATTCAAAACGTCAAAAAATTGAATCAATTAAGTCAATTCGAAAAAATCCGAAAAGATAGTTTTATTTAAAACTAGCGACTCTTCTTCGCTTTGCTCGGGTTTGTCCCTAGGTAGGTTTTAACGGTTAGTATGAAATACAAATCTTTGAAGTTCTCAGCTTTTCTGTACTAAAATGATGATGTTCTCCTAGCCGATTCCGGCCACGGCGGCCAATCTCAATGAAATTAGCCAACTGCGCAGGAGATATTATAGTGCTCAAGTGTACGCGCAGACACAAGTGCACTCTCTATTCCTATCACTCTCATACTCCGGTGGGACGACCACTCGACACGACCGATGAGAGTTAAGGCGCAGGACCGACGGCTCTCCGAGGCACGGGGGTGAAACACCGCCAACTTCCCAACTCCGGGCTGTTACTGAGACTTACTATACAGGAAGACTCAATAACTAAACTTGGCCCGACCCGGGACTCGAACCCAGGACCTCCGGGTGTGCAGCCGTACATGCTAGCCACTACACCACCGAGGCTGTCAGTACTAAAATATGCATGTATTATACATATATTATACAACCTTCCTCTTGAATCACTCTATTTTTTGCTATAAACTGCATTAAAATCCGTTGAGTAGTTTAAAAGATCTAAGCGAACAGACAGCGGAAGTGATTTCATTTTATACTAAGTTAAGATACTTTTAAAGTAGTTTGAAATCGATGTATACTTAAAATGTAATTATTCCTTTAGATTTCTATTCTTCAACGATTGATAAATAATAAAAAAATATTAGAACATGAAACGAACGAAGAACATTTACAACTAATGTCGCTCGAGTGTACTATAGTAATTATTTCAGTAAAAACTGTGTTGTAGCCACTAACGCCTACCCCCTGAAATCTATACATATAATAAAATTGTGACTAGGCCAAATCTGTTCATTAAATATTTTTTGGAAAATCTTATTGAAATAAACAGAGGTCGAATCTGTCTGTCTGTTACCGCATCACAGAAAAACCACTAGAGGGATTTTGGTGAAATTTGGTATGATGATAGCTGGTTATCCGGGTCAACATATAGGATACTTTTTACCGGGGGAAAATTTCTCATTTCTTAGAAAAATTACAAAAATTACAATGTAAGAGTGTACTAAATTATGTAAAACCTAAGATTTTGGGTTTTGGTCATGTGAACGCGGGCGGAGCCTCGGGCAATGCTAGTAGATATTAAAACTTTATTATTTTGCTTTATATTTAGTTCTAGACGCTCTGTATATATTATTCCTTAGTCTGAGGTTACTAAGTAATCAATCTATACTTACATATTTACTTTTAATTTAATTACTATTGCATATATTTTAATAACATTTTATTAAGAAATAATGTGTCTCTACCGCTAACCGCACCTTGTAGCTATTAGTTTAAATTTCTAATTTTTAAAGGCATTAAGCAAGATATGACAAAATAATCGCAAACTGTAAGGAAATATTTAATAATAATAATAGCAAAAGTAAGTTTTTTAATGCCACTTAAAGTAGTGATGTTTATACGAGGTTTGTAAAAAGGATGTTTAGACAATTTATTATTCTACTAGCTACTGGAGGAATTTTGATGAAATTTGTCATAACAAATTTGTTATGACAAATTTCATCAAAATTCCTCCAGTGGTTTTTCTGTGATGCGGTAACAGACGGACAGACAAAAATTCTAAAAACCATAGATTCGGCCTCTGTATAGATAATAAAGTCTATTTGAATAAGATCTTTCAAAAAGTATTTAATGAACAGATTCGCCTTAGTTACAATTTTATTATGTGTATAGATGAAAAAAAACATTAAAATAAATAATAAAAATAAAAAAATATTATGCTATTTTTACTCTTAAGGGGAAAGAACTAATGCTTAAAAATACAAAAGAATATAGTATTAATTTTATTATTAATAGTTTATTCTCAAAAATTGTATAATAGTTTAACTCATTCAAACAAATTGACACCATGGATTATCAGGACCATCTCCAGGATAAAACTACATATATCTGTTCACCTCTATCTAATCTTCATGTGCGTCCAAAGCTATGTACACTAGTTGAAAGTTAATGCTAGCTTCATCCAGTGGCTATTTTTAAGCACGTCCCTATTTTTACTTAGAGATGGATCTTAGACGATGTGTTACATTAAACTTTAGTCTTCGAAAATTTCCACCAAGCCTTCCAAAGTACTGGATAACTCATTACACAGATAAAAAATAGATATTAAAATTAATAAAATGTCGAAATTAACATAAAAATTTTCTTTACAAGTAGGTTGTATATAAATTGCATTTATTATTTACGAAAAAAAAACATCACTCAAATTAACATATATGTCATTTGAGTGTAATATTTGTATAAGGTCTAAAGTATTTTTAAAATATGGCGAAAAAAAGCGATATAAGAAGGCAGAGTGTGATTGTACATCCGATCGATCCCACCGAGTGTCCTTTTAGGGAATTTAGAGATAACGAGCTGTCACCGGACTACTGGGGGATGGTAATTATGAGTTTGTTAAAGCACTTTTACTTGTTACTTTTTTGGCCTTGTCATAAGATATTTGCTAATTAAATAAATAGTACCTGGGCTACCGAGCATCGCTTGGAGTTTTTGGCCTAAAGTACAATTTTCTTTTATCTTAAAGAACAAAAAACTTGAATAAATATTAAAAAAAAAACAAAAGTAAAAACTTTCTATGTAACCGAGATTCGAACCGGGACACCTGTGATTGTTTATCTTGCACCTTGACCGCTTGACCACGATGCTTATGCCCGATCGTCCAAATTACCGACCATATTTTGTGTGGAATAATGCAAAAGAAAACTGCATGAAAGCTAGAAAACACGCATTTTCCCAGACATAAGACTAATCCTAGATAGATTTATCGCCCCCGAAACCCCTTGTATGCTAAATTTCATGAAAATCGTTGGAGCCGTTTCCGAGATTCAAATTATATATATACAACAATTGCTCGTTTAAAGATATAATATACGTGTCGTAGAACGCCCCCCTTTTTTCATCATTTAAAAACCTAGTGTTCGCTCAATGATCGAAAATTAGAGAAAAACATAATATGTATATAATTTAGCTATCTATAAATAAAAAAACGAACTATTTACAAAATTTTATTGATAACACTTAAACTCGTCAATAGATTCTAACAAGAAAACAACGGGTGACAAACACAGGAGAAAAAGTTACTGTCTTGTGTTTGCCTATTTACATGTAAATACTGCTTTATTATTTGCGGATAAGTAATTTTCATTGAGTATACATAAATGTAAAGCAAAAGCTTGTTAGGCCGAAAATTATAAACATTTAAAGAAATGAAGTTATGTCATTTTATGCAGAATAATTTTATCTAGTGACCATAATTATAGTAAAATCTAAAACTATAGTTTTAAATAAATAGGTTTTTTACGTAACCATCGGAATCAAACCTATTACTATTGTTAAAAACATTTTATACATATATTTCTAGCTCGTAATATATCTTTCACAAAATTGTACAAAATATTGACATACTAACATACACATATAGATAACTAACATTTACCCGCGGCTTCACACGCTCTAATTATGTACATATGTTTAAAAATTATAGCACATAATGTTACTCTGATGTATAAGAATATTACTGTGTAGATTCACAGAAATCCGTTCAGTAATTATAAAATAAAATAAATAAACATGTTGGGACATGAACACACAGCACCATCTAGTTCCATGGTGCGCTAGAGGCTTATGCTATGGGTACCATATAGTTGATACACTACACATATATAACTTTAAATAAATACATATCATGCCTCCAGCAGCGGGACTCGAACCCGCGACCGCTGGCACAGCAAACTCACTACAAACTGAGCCAAACGTGTCGTGAAAGAGTAACATCCATCCATCCATCCTCACAAACTTTCGTGTTTGTAATATTAGTAGGATAAGTCTATATTTTTATCAAAAAAAATAATAGATTAAAATAAAAAGAAAATATGAGTATTATACGATATCTATAATATCTAATAAGTGGCATGAAATAGTACTCATTATATATAAATATATCTATATAAATTTTAAAGATATTTTCATTTTAGATAAAACCATCTTTTCGGATTTTTTCGCGGATTTATTTTAATTTTTGGCTTCTGACGTTTCGAATGTTTTCCATCAATCTTAGTCACGGGAGAGACTGAGGTGTTAAATGACTCAAAGGCATTATATAGTTGTTACAGACAGCCTACTCACAAAATAACAAAATGAATTCCAAAAATTAAATAATTTTAATTTTAAACATTTTATTTATTTATTTTTTATTTATTTATTTATGTACCATGAAATATATGTTACACAAAATAAAATAACAAAATGTTGACAAAGGATAACTTACCTCTTTAAGAGATTTCTTCCAGAAACTCTTAGATTGCAGTTTTTGCATTTTTATAGTTTTATAATTATTGTTTTAAAAAAAGATATTATTTAAAATGTCAAATATACACGTAAGGTTAAGAAATTATTATATGTATATATTTTCATGCCAGTTACACCAATTATTAACACTAGGGACCCGCAGCATTTCGAGGGAGTCACTTTACGAGTAAAGCTTCGAAGTCGATGGCTGACTTCGTGTGGGTAGATGAACAAACTCAGCCTTTACCAAGATCTGCAAGACGATATCTTCACAGCTGGGTACGCGCTGAAGAACTGGCTTTACGCAGATGGGACGCAGAAGTTGTGATTTTTGAGGTATTTCTTGATATTAAACAAAAATAAAATACCATATTCTTAGGTTTTACATATTAGCATACACTTAGATTGCAGTTTTTGCATTTTTTCTCAGAAATGAGATATTTTCCCGTGGTAGAAAGTATTCTATATGTTGATCCGGATAACCAGTTATCATCATTCCAAATTTCATCCAAATCCCTCCAGTGGTTTTTCTGTGATGCGGTAACAGACAGACAGATAGACAAACAAAAATTCTAAAAACTATAGATTCAGCCTGTGTGTCGATAATAATGTTTATTTTAATAAGATTTACCAAAAAATATTTAATGTACAGATTCGGCTTAGTTATAATTTTACTATATGTATTATAGATATGTATACAAAAACAGCAAATATAGCATTAATAGAACATTATTAACATAATACAAAAATATTGCGAGTAGGCTGTCTAATAAACTAAACGCTCATTTATGTACTATAATTAGGTTATAATAACGAGTGAAAATAAGAAAATTCAAAGAAACTACCATAGAACAGAAATGGACAGAAAAATGTGATGTCTGCTATGCTCCAGACAGACATTTTTATGTTTATTTTTCGGTACAACAGCATATTTCGTATTCATAAGATACTCGTAAGTTCTCTACACCACTGATATAGCTCTGTTTGGTTTTAAAATTGGAAACATCTTGAAAGAAATTTCAATATAAGACGCTTTAATCTAAAAATATTTGTAAAGAAATGTTAAATTTAAAATAATATTTGTCTAAATATAAAAGTATGTTTGTTACTTCTTTTGGATGTAATTTGATATGGAAATAGTTTATGTTTTTTGAAGTTATACTTCATTTGCGATATTTGGAAAAAATTATGAGAGTAAAATTTTTACGATGAGCGCGCACACCGACAGCCAAAAAGCGACATGTTGAAGTTTGCTGATAACTGTATCTCCGGTTCATAACTATATTCAAAGTTGTTTCTCAAATATTCCTAAATCTATAACACCTTTTTTATGTCAATGGAGATAAAAAAATATATATTTCTTTTTATTAATTTATCATTCCTTTTACAAACAGAGAGTTGTGACATACGGGATGAAATCTTTAGCTATTTTTGTTCTGTTACGTCAAACAAGTAAAACTTCTTACGTGCGTACATAAGTACACACACACACGTTTTTTTTTTCGATTTACGAACTGTAGCTACTTATCGAAAGTTAAACAAACGCATTTTATTTGAGCAAACTCATTCATTGTATATATGAAAATTAAATGATTTCAAAAGAGTAAACTTCTTCTCAATTAAAATCCCATAAATTTTTTTACAAAACTATCCAGTTTTTTAGATACTTACATTTACTGCGGATTTTTTCAGAGGTGCGGGATATAAACCCGCTTCATTTGTTTCCTCGAGCCAGCCCGTTACCACTAGGCTACCCCTACCTTTAATTATAAGCTTAGTGAAAATTTTCAAACAAAAGGCTTTACAAAACATACTGAATATTATTTACATTTACAGGACAATGGAGGCGGAAAAATGTCTATTATAGATATGCAATTGAGTCATGCCCAAGTTTTGCTAAGATCATCGTTTTGCAGACGAGTTCTTTCTTTATGTTATATACTAGAACGAGTAGATAGTTTAGTGGTTAGTATTCTAGTCAATATTTTGGTTTAGAAATTTGCCTAACAGCCTACTATGGTCACAGGTTTGATTTATTTGGCAATTTGTCTGGAAACTGGACTGGACTAGTCAACATGTTATATTTTTTTATGATATTTACTGCTAATTATTTTAAAATAATTATTTTATTTTACACATTTTTACGATGCTATACCATCAGTCATATTTCTGATTTTGTTCTTTTATATTTAAAAACAGGTAAAATTTGAACGAAAACTGTATATTAAAGATATTTTTTAACACTTTTCAACTGCTGGTAAAATTTATAACAATACCATTTTCTTCATAAGTACTAAATGTTTTATTTCGAGATTTATACCAAATCGCATTTATTACTTAATTATAGTACATTTGACTCAAAATGGATGAATTTTAACATTTCATTTGTCATCAATGATTATTTTTGTTGTAAAAGTCATTTGATAAAAATAAACAAAGATTAATATAATTTATATTTTCTAACCAAAAGATTGAACATCAATGGGAGCACTTTATTTTCAATATGGGCCCTGAAGGCTGGAGATCTAGATACCATATCTACTCACCCGGGTTAAAATCTGGCGGTGGGCCACAGCATCGGCCTACTTTGTCGAAGAACGGTAAGAAATAATAGTTTACGTGTTGACATTAATGAAGTAATCTGTAGTAAACAAAATCATAATGGGAAATTTTAAAAGTTTAAAGGGCTTCACTATAGACTTATTCTGTTTTAAATAGTGTTAATATATCTAAGTTATTATATAAATTAACAAAGTAGCCTTACATCTGTCCTAATAATCTATACATAGATTTTTTCAATTCAATTCAATTCTTTAGTTTATGTCTTCTTGAAGTGCCATAGATGTTTTTTTTTTTTTTCATTTTTTTTCTAGCGATAGGAATTTGACATAATTTATATGGAGCTTATGTCAGGTTTCTATCTCCAGTAAGATATTTCAGATAGATTGATTATTGGGAACTGGCATTACAGTTTAAGTTCCTATTTATTACCTTTTATCTACAGTACCATACAACAAAAACAGTAAGAATAAACTTAAGCGATCACAATTGATGTAATTCATTTATAATGCCTAGATTTTTTTTATAGATAGGTAGTAAATAAACACCACTTCCGGAAGCTTTGAGAAAATCCCACGCAAACATTTTGTTACTTAATGTCATTATATTTTTGTATAATATTTTGACCTCATACTTTCGGTTTCTACTTAGAGCAGGTGTTGTGAGAAAAAAAAAATATAAAGATACGAGTACATGCCCAAGTAGGTTTTGACTGCCTTTATAATTGTCAATACTTTTTCTGTACTATTGTTTCTTTTAACTACTAATATTATTAAGTAATAATGTGTCCGCCTAGTGGTTGAAATTTGACCATAATGAAAAGAAAACTATCTGTTTTTTTATTACTAATATTTTTTTATTGATACCACTAAAGCTTATCAATAGATTACCAAAAAAATAAAATGGGTTGATAACCAGAGTAAAAAAGATACAGAACTGTGTTTTCTTTGCAAAACGAAAATGCTAAAACGCGTATTTATTTAATTTTATTGAAGAGCATAATACCAAGTTTTAAGTAATTCTGATAATGAATATTTTTTTGGATTATATTATAACGTATTTTCCCGTGGGAAATATATAATCTCCTACGGTAAAAAGTATGTCACTCTCCAGCCCTCCAAATATCTCCACACAAAAAATCACGCCAATCCGTCACACCCTTTCGACGTGAAAGAAGGACTAACAAACAAACAAACAAACAAACAAACAAACAAACACACTTTCACAATGATAATATTAAGTAAGGATTATTATCAAATATTTGGTATACTTTTATATTAACTGAATATCAGCAACTATTTTCAAAAATTAAATAGACAATGAACGATACTGTGATTTTTTTAATATTAATATCTCTAAAAAAATAGCTCTACGTAAACAGAGCTATCTACTAGGAATCTCTATATTTTTCAGGTTGCTATCTAGTTAGACTGTTCTACCTCGGAGCCTGGCGCTGTGTGTGGGTTAGTGACCAAGTTCCAGTGGACGCCACTGATTCTCCACTGCTTCCTTTCTCCCCTCTGCTATGTCATAATCCAGCTAAGCCAGGAGTTAAGCAAACTCCAGCTGTCACATCAAATGTGGTGCACCTCTGGCCATTATTAATATGTAAGGTTAGTTGGAGTAATACAAATTTTTAAAACTAATGAAAACCACTAAGGTTATATAAGACATGTCTTAGATTAGAACACTTTGTCAGAAAATTATACGATTAGTAGAAAAAAAACGTATTTGCTACTTAGTTGATTATATCTCACAATTTGACATTTAAACGCCTTCTGATTCGTTGGAGCCTTCCTCGCGGACCAAAGTTACAGCCTGTGGCTGTCTTTAAATGACATTGACGATTCAAAAATGTTTTGTATAATCTATTTATATTAAATTTTACAAATATAAATTTATTTCGTGTTTCTTGGAAACGGTAGTAAAGATTTGGATCAAATTTTGTATTTGGGTAAGATTTGCTTTTTGAGTTTATCTATATAGGTGTGTTTTCTAGAAAAACGCAATTTTTCACAAAAAGAAGAACATTTTTTATAAACTTTTATACCTTGTTTCTATCTGCTTTCATGCTGACAATGTCATATAACTTATCTCGTAAATTTCTGTCATACTTGCATTGTCGCCAATGGATGATAAGTGATAAGCTACTGAACGAGCGCTTACACCGAGTAAAGCTCGGCCGCCAAGTTACTATACATGCACATACATATAATATTATGTTTTCATTTCTATTATATTATTAGAATTTAACTAACAATCATTTCTAACACCATCCAAGGCTCCAATTGGGCAAAGCAAATTGGCTTCAACCAACTTAACATCGTAAAATTTTATTATTCGTATTACCTATTTGTATTGGTTGCAAAATACCAGAAAGAATTTCAAGATTCGTGATGAGGTGTCGCAAGAAAACCATTCAGCGGTTTATAAATTCCAAATCTTTGCTCTATCATAAAATTATAAGCGTCATGGAATTGAGCTTCACTTGCACAAGTACTTGTTACGTTATTTACGTAACGATCACTTAAAATAACAATAAGGCCAGAAATGCACTAGCGATTTTTTGAAATAAAGCTTTAGAAAGCTTATTAAGCTTCAATTCATAATCATTAAAATAAAAAAATAAAAAAATTGCCTACATGAAGTTATAATGTTTTTTCTTAAAACGAATAATGTGCAAAAAAATTTTGCAAGTGTGTCCGAAGCCTAATACATTATTATCAGTACTTTCCCAATGTAAATTCCTTAACACCGCAGCCAGTTACCAAGATTTATTACTAGTAACCAACTTAAACCAATTCCCTTAATTATAGACAAAGATCATTGTCGTACATTACAAATTCCTGGAAGAGATTATTCACCGTTATTATTTTACATAAGCGACTTATGTCGCTTCACTTAGATGCGTTCTTACGTTTCTTTTATATTTATAATATTACTAGCATTGCCCGCGGCTCCGCCCGCGTTCAGATGACTAAAAACCAAATTCTTAGGTTTTACATATTAATATATTCTTACATATTAGTTTTTGTATTTTTTCTCAGAAATAAGACATTTTCCCGCGGTAAAAAGTATTCTATATGTTGACTCGGATTACCAGTTATCACACTACCAAATTTCATCAAAATCCCTTCAGTGGTTTTTCTGTGATGCGGCAACAGACAGACAGACAGACAAAAATTCTAAAAACTATAGATTCGGCCTCTGTATCGATAATAATGTTTTTTTGCCAATAAGATTTTCCAAAAAATATTTAATGTACAGATTCGGCTTAGTTAGAAGTTATATGTATAGATGTACAGGTAATTCAATATACTACTGAAGCCAGTGGTAGCCCAGTGGTAATGCGCTCGCTTGAGCAACCGAGTGAAGCGGGTTCAAATCTCGTGTTTCGCTCAGATATTTTCATGTGCGAATCATTTGTAATTACCACTTACGGTGAAGGAAACATCGTGAGGAAACCTGCATGTCTGAGAGACCCTAGCAAGTTTTCTAAATACATGTTAAGGCTGCCAACCCGCACTTGGCCAGCGTGGTGGACTATGATCTGATCCCCCTCGTGAGGCCCGTGCTCAGCAATGAGACGTTAAAAAAAGAGCTGAATACAGCAATATACTACTCCAGGTCTAAGCATATTTATGTACATTTCACTTAACTTCGTGCTAGTGTAGAACTCAGAAAATATCTTTTATCTGCTCTACATTGGCCTTACTCTATATCTTTTTCCCCTTAAAAGATGTCAAACATGATCGTTAATAACCTGTTAAATCATAGTTAAGCAAGGCTTCCTTTCATGTGAAGAATACATAATTCGTATGGATAATTGCTTCGAGATTAAGCGATATTTAATTTATTAATATGTAAATATTAAAAAATTAGGTTAATACATCCGCTTTTACTGATTTGCAAAACTACTTATGTCACATTTTATTTTATACTAGCATTGCCCGCGGCTCCTCCCGCGTTCAAATGACCAAAAACCAAATTCTTAGGTTTTACATATTAGTATACTCTTACATTGCACTTTTTGTATTTTTCTCAAAAATGAGATATTTTCCCGCGTAAAAAGTATCCTATATGTTGACCCGGATAACCAACTATCACCATACTAAATTTCATCAAAATCCCTCCAGTGGTTTTTCTGTGATGCGGTAACAGACTGACAGACAGACAAAAATTCCAAAAACTATAGATTCCGCCACTGTATCGAAAATAATGTTTGTTTCAATAAGATTTTCTATATATATATAATATATAGGTACAATTCGAATCAATTCTGCCTAATAATTTACTTACTCGGGTAAAAACGAGATTATGATGCTGATGTAAATAATGTAACATACATACGTAAGAGTTCTTTAATGTGGTTAAAATTGAGAAAAAAAACGTTTATTAAATTATATATAATAAAAATTAGTTAATAGTAATCGTCGAACTGTGTACGTATTTTTCTCCAATGCGAGTGGGATTAAACCACCGTCCACGATGCCCATATGTGGGATAGTGGTTCTCTCAAAGTCATTAACCCACATGTGGGCATCCTCTCTTTCATCACATTGTTTTTCTTAACCGTATTAGCAAGTGATGTAAATATATAGAACATTAGATTCGCACATGAAATTATTTAAATTGCAAAAAGAAAATATTAAGCATATATCTTCTCTTTCTTAAATCTACCTAATAAAATAAATAAATAAAATAAAAAATTAGTAAATTAGTACTTATATTTATATATAGGGTTTGCGATATCTCGTTTCCTATCTTTAATTGATTGATTATGTAGAAGAAAATATTTACTCAAAAACATAAACTACTAGCAGAACCCGCGGCTTCGCTCGCGCTAAAACACCAAAAAAATATCTTAACCTCCTGCCTACCAGAGACACTTTTTTTGGAGTACGCTCTTGAAGTTTTAGTATAATATCGGTAATAGGGTATTATATGCTGGAAAAATAGTAAAAAAAATCCTATATCTGGAAAAACGGTTTTTCACTATGTCCTATACGTAGGACAAAGTGACTATATTACTATGTGATTTGTGTAGAACATAGAATAGTTAATTGATGTAAATTGTGATTAGAAAAGAAACAAAACACAAACACAACATATTGTAATCTTCATATTATATTTAGGCATCATAAAGTTTCTGAAAAAAAACAAAAAGAAAACTTCTTCTAAATAAAACTTTCAAAATTAAACATTTCTCGTCATAAAAATAACTAAACATTATTACGAACTTACAAATCAGTCGCAATTAGGAATATATTTAGATATTAATCAAGTTTTATCAACACTTATACCCTTATTACTACTCTAAGTTTTGGTGAAAATCGGAATAACAATTCCTTTTTGGGGTGAAACAGAGATTAATATCACATTTTTTGCAAAAACTGTAGTTTTTTAGATGGGCAAATGTATTTATTTATTTATTTATTTATTTATTTATTTATTTATTTATTTATTTATTTATTCAAACAAAATCCACAGCTACATACAAAAAAAAATTGTAAGTACAAAACTAAAACCTTACATAAGCCAATTACGGATTTACATTATTTAGGCAATATAGAAAGGTAGACTAAGTTTACATTTATTTAAGAAAAGGCAAAACAAAAAAAAAAACATGCATTTATATAAGGAGCAAAACAAAAAATGAGAAAAAAAAAATAATAATAGAAAGAACACTAACAATGATGATACGGCCATTCATTATTTATGACTAGTGGTGCGGCTGCGGGTGCACGTGCGTGTGTGTGTGTTCGTGTGTGTTTGTGTATGTTCGTGGGTGTGTTGGTGTGTGTTGTGTGTGCGTACATATGTGCGTGTGTTATTTATAAGTTCTTTAATGATAGCTTTTCTTAAATCTTCCTCTAGAATTACTAAATGGATCAACATTACAGAAATATTTATTATACTGTTGAGGCAGTCTATGAGTTACTGAGTTTCTACTGTAGTTAGAACGATGACAAGGCACATGAAATAAATTAGTGTGCCTTGTGCGCCTTTGAGGGGTACACAATTGCAAGGTTTCTGTAATAAGATAAGGATTATCTATGTTTCCATTACAAATGTCATACAACAGCATCATGTCGGTCATAGTTCTACGTCTTTCTAAAGTGGTCATTTTATAATGTAAGCAAGATGCAATATAGTCTGTTTTAGGTTCTTTAGTACGATAGTTAAGATAGCGTATAAATTTCCTCTGAATATAGTATAACCTGATAAATCAACACGTCTCAAACTGCGCCTTGCGGCGTAGCAAGAACCTTCAGCTGAACAGGGTTCGGTTTGTTAGGACAGTATTGGCGCATCGGACATTTTCTAGTAAACGGATTAATCATTTCGTCAATATTCTTGGGCCGGTTTTGTTCGTGAAACCCCTCCCAAGATTCGATTAAACAGCGGCTGTATTTACCAATTTTTTTGTATCTTCTGTTCTGCTGTCACTTCAGCATCATAAACACACTTCAGCCGTCGTCTAATAAAAAAGAACCTGTTCCTTTTCATAGCTATTGCAATTATGGAAACTTTCCATTTTTCTGACCAGTACATATTTGTGAATACTGCAGTACTGACATTATCATTGTTATTCCTACATTCTAAATCTAATGTACCTTGGTCCAGGTATCTTGAAAGCCATTATTATGTTGACGATTCCTAATCGCAATCTGGCGGGTTGACAAAGGCGACGATTGCAGCCGTGGAGTATCCTCGCTCAAACTGAGACCACGTCCACGACCTCGGCCACGTCTACATCCACGTGAAACACTTCTGCCACGTCCTTTTGAACGGGGCCGTGATGACGTCGATGCGATATCAGAACTACTAGAGAACGCCGGGGAAGCAGCTGCAGGAACCACTGTGTTTTCCTCTTCATCTGAACTGCTTGACTTACTAATTAGATGATCATTGGCTGTTTGGTTAAGTTCTGGTGTCACAAACTTCGGATCTTCATCTGAATCATCTCCCGAAAATTCAAACTCAGAATCGTTTAAAGCCTCCGCTATCCCATTGTCCGTTAGAACTAGAACAAACATAAGTATGATAAAATATCTATCAATGTACTTTATATAGTACATCGGAAGTCTAAGTACTAAAACTTTAATTGCCTACTTTTGTCTTCTGCAAAGGACATAAAAAATTACAATACGTTGTCTTGCATGTTTTATACAATTACGCGAAAATAAAACTGCATATCATCATTTTAAACTTCTAATTACTTTACTATCGCAAGAAATCCAATAAAAATTTAGATTTAAATATGATTTAAATCGATTAACTTACCTCTGCGCGTACGCATCGACACATGTCTGTCTTCCATCGCCATTTTGAAAAAAGAGGACCACATGAGAACTGACATTTATCTCTATTTGGAAACCCAGATAGTCGATAGATGTCACCACGCAAATATTTTGGGGTTACCATTTTAAAAACCGGTAGTATATTTTTTTAATTCCTATGTCCTGGCTATAGTACAGATGTAGGCAGGAGGTTAAAAGGTAGTTTCATACAAACTTTCACCCTCTATTTTACCCCCCTTATAGAATGAATCTCGAAAAATGCTAAAACACGTATTTATTTAATTTTATTAAAGAACAATAATACAAAGTTTCAAGTAATTCTAATCATAAATATTTTTTTCGATTTTATTACGTGTATTATATTGTAAAAAGTAACCTATGTCACTCTTAAGCCCTCCAACTATCTCCTCACAAAAATCACGCTAATCCGTCACTCCGTTTCGACGTGAAAGAAGGATAAACAAAAAAACACACTTTCACATTTATAATATTAGTATGGATGTTAATTAATTATCTATGCCAAGTGACACAAAGTTCGTTGTTCTCTTCACGGATTAATATTTAAACAAACACTTTGTTAAAAGTATTGATTTAATTTGAAACAAAAATATTCTCTAGTCTATAATTGGACCCAGTTATGCGAAAAACAGCCATGTACGTAAAAGTACCAACAGAGTTATAAGCATTTTATTATAAAAAATAAAATAATTATAAAAAATAAACAATACTTATATAAATATTGTTCAATTTTAAAATAACCAGAAAAACAAAACACAACCCAAGTGCAACTATCGACAGAAAAATGCTTATAACTCTGTTGGTACTTTTACGCACATGGCTGTTTTTTGCGTAACTGGGTCCAATTTTATAAGTCACAGCTTTCCAACCAATTAAGTGATAGTAATAATATATGAGTTAAATGGCGCAAATGATATATTGCTAATGGCATTACATTTATAGAACACCACGATCGATCGACTCGAAATAGCGCATTAGATGTGTTTTTATTTCTAAGATTAATAGACCGTCGTGGTGTAGTCGTTTCGTGACTTATTGCAGCAGTTCCCATATTTTTTGTCCACGGAACCCTTAAATTGATCTTTTTTTTTAACGGAGCCCCATTTTGATAATAACTAAATCGATTGTGTTGTAGTTAAAATTCTTTGTTTGAAATAATAAATCATAAGTGTAAAATACCATAGTTATTGTACCCAAAATACAACCTATTTAATGTGATGAAAGAATTTATTCACGAATTTATAATTTGGCACCTTTTTATTTAACTCTCGGACGGAACCCTTGTAACCCTTCCACGGAACTCTAACGTTCCGCGGACCACTATTTGGGAACCGCTGTCTTATTGGCATTTTGAAGTTATTGTAATTGTATTACCATATAAGTATTTTCTTAGATATTTCACAGAGCTATGGCACTATGTTTGCTAATGAGACCTAGTACAGGTGCAATGCTTTTGAAACACATTTATGATATATTATATATATGTATATAAATCGCATAAATAATGTGGGTGTGTTTGTCATTTTTGCTTGTTCTATTATATATATTATATAATTATCACATAAGCTACTTTTTACCAACAAACTGTGCGAACAAAGTTGTGGGCAACAACTAGTTAAACAGAACATTATTATTTGTTCTATTTTTAGATGAAATACGCTGTTTAATTTAGTATAAAAGACAACTCTAAATGAATTAATTACTATTCAAAATATCAAATCGTTTCCATTAGAATTGGCTTGCGCCTGCTATAATAAGACTCTGTTAGCTCGTGAATGTTTAATTGCTAATGAAAATTTAACAGGCGCTGTTAAAGTTAGCCGCACCTGACATGAATGACGAAGATAGTGACTACGAAGACGAATTGATGTCGGAATTTGATATATTGCATGCTTTGACCGGGGGTTTGAACTTGACTTATAATACTAGGGGTTAGTAACAAAATTAATGTATTTTCCAAATAAAATGTAGGTAGGTACAGAAAATTTTAATTTACAATTATTTTTATGTTATTTTCATATTTTTTTAAATAAGTACATGTTATTAAATTGTGTTAAAACAATATTGGAATTCTTAGACGTTGAATTAGTTTTAAATTTGGTTTTTTTTATATTCAAACTGGAACGTAGAACCCAGAATAAAATATATAAATGATAAGTATTTATTTCTTCTACCATTTTCGCTTATACTGACTTATTGTTTTGAGGCTCACTCGATATTCGAAGGATCCTCGCTTGATACAAAAATAAGAAGTAACAGAAATACAAACATCAACAAATTAATTCGACTAATGTATAGCTAAAGTAAACTTTGTCCCAAGTGAGAATGAACCCACAAGCACCGAAGGGTGTCGAAACTGATACTCTACACGTTTTTAAATCATTCATCCGATTGTGATGAAACTTTGGTGAATTGTCCCGCATAAGGAAAGGTTCTTTACCCCAAAAAAAAATATTTGTCTGTTTGTCCTCTATGTGTTTCTAAGCTATTCATCCATAGGAATGTACCCGAACGAAGGCAGGGTAAGTCGCTAGTTCGTAATATATTTAATTCCTAGAGTTATAACTTTGACGTAGCTTTAAATGAAATATACATAGATCTCTGACATTAACATGAGTCATACTTATCAAGAGTAATTTTAGTACAAATTTGGTTAGATCGTATTAAAAGATCTAAGAAATTTATCCTTATATAGAGTTGAATAAACGTATTCTTAGACCTAGATTTAATACTTAAAAATGATTATATTAGTAGGTAAATCCATATTGAAGTATGACGATTGATTTTTTAATAAGTTTTCCTTCTAATAAGTCAATTTATAACACGTGTAAAACAAAATAAGGATGTCGTTTCGCTTTTAGGGAATATAAACTTATACAATTTGTATTATATATGTATTTAAATTAATATTATAGTAACATCTTTGATATTTATATATTTTGACGACACGTTTGGCTCAATTTGTAGTGAGCCTACTTGCTGTGCCAGCGGTCGTGAGTTCGTGTCCGGCTGGAGGCATTCATTTGTGTGATGAGTACGAATATTTGTACTCTAGTCATGGGTCTACACAAGCCTCGTAGCTTACCATGTAACTAGATGGTACTTTAATGTCCCAACATATTTATTTATTTTTATTTTTTATGTATACCTTTTTATTTCTATTTTTTGGAACCCAACATTTTTCGACCCCCTTTTCACTTATATACATACATATTATGAATTAACGTTCTTTAGGGTTCTTTAAATATCTATAATATGTATTTCTTCATCTCTTTTTATTATCTCTTTTTATTATCTTCTTTTATTCTAAGATCCTGAAGAACTATGGGAGCTGATAACATCAGAGGTTTCACTTTTCACTTGGGACGATGATGACGACACTCTCACCAGCACAGTAAAGTCTAGAAGCACGAAGAAGCTAGCTACTAAAGAAACTACACTTGTCAGAGTAATTTTATTATTAGAATTTCTTCTTTTCAGGGTTCCGTATCCGGAGGGTGCGAACGTCCGTCCGTCTGTCTGTCTGTTCGTCCATCCGTCTGTCTGTCTGTTCGTCCGTCCATCTGTCGGAAGACTGTATCTCACGAACCTATAGGTATAGAGAATAGGTAGAGAGTTGAAGTTTTTACAGAGTATGTATGTCTATTGCCGCTATAACAACAAATAATAAAAATAAAAATACAAGAAACATTTTTTTAAATCTAGTAATCAATCATCAAAGTTAATATACTACCTACATAGAGTAAAAGTCTTATTTAAAAAACACATGTACGATGGTACGGAACCCTTCGTGTACGAATTCAACTCGCACTTGACCGATTTTTTCTCCGTTTTCCCAAATCCAGCTTATCTGCTTTCCGAAATAGTCGGAATCTGATGAAAAATGTTGTTACTAACTATTAAATATAATTTATACTGTAATTTTACGAGATATGTTCTTTTTATGATAGAGTTTTAAATAGATATTTTTTTCTATATTTGTATTAATAATAAGAATGGCTTAAAGTCTATAGTCGAGTCACGCCTTTAGTATTACTTTTAAAATTCCATCAAGTGAAAGGCATTGTCCTCACGTACGTAAAATGCAATACGCATAGTAATTATTTTTTAAATTATCAAGCTACCTGTTACTTCGATTTAAAGTATGAAGGGGGCGTAGCTCAGATGGTAGAGCGCTCGCTTAGCATGCGAGAGGTACCGGGATCGATACCCGGCGCCTCCAATCTATTTTACAGTTTAATTTTTTTATTAGTTTTTTGTAATTTTTGAGATTTACGCAAATATTTGACATTTTAAATCGACTTCGGATTAATTTTTAATTTTGGCTCCCGACGTTTTGAAATTATTACAATATACAATCGCGGTTACGAGGGAGGTTAAGATTTTGTCGTCTCAAAAGTTATTATAATATAGTTATTAAGACGATGTTTTTTCACAAAATATGGATTAATATTATTATTAATAATGTAAGAAAGTATTAATAGCACACATACATACATATATATACACATGTAGATTTATATATACTTTAGCATTTTTAAATAGTATTCATTTATATTTAAGTACTATTGTACTATATCGACGACACGTTTGGCTCAGTTTGTAGTGACCATACTTGCTGTGCCAGCGGTCGCGGGTTCAAGTCTCGCTGGGGCATTCATTTGTGTGACGAGCGCGAATGTTTGTACTCCAGTCATGGGTGTTTATATTTATGGTATATATATATATATATATATATATATATATATATATATGTATTTAAAGTTATATATGTGTAGCGTATCAACTATCTGGTATCCATAACACAAGCCTCGTAGCTCACCATATAACTAGATGGTGCTGTGTATTAATATCCCAACATATTTATTTATTTATTACTATTAAAACAGCGCAGGTCAATGACGTCGATTCTAATTGAAGATACAAAAAGTCTCCAACCATACACACTCCCAGGTATAACTCCTGGGCATGAGATGAATTTAATTGTAACGATGGCCAGAGATCTGCCCTTGAAGAAACCGTTGCCAGAACCAGGTTTTTAGCCTTTGTCTAAACATTTTCGATTATTTTAGTTTTTTACTTATGGGTAACATGGTACGGCTGGAGATCTTAGATCGGAGGTCCTGGGTTTGAGCCTTGGGTCAGGTAAAGAACGGAGATTAGGTTTTTCTGTTAAGAAATTCTCAGTAGCAACTCGGAGTTGGAAATTGGCGATGTGACATTCTGTGGCTCATAGAGAAGAAATAGAGAGTTCACTTGTGTCAGCTCGCATTCTTTTACACTTTACTATATATTACAAATATGGCTTGTCTTAATGAAGCGGATATTTGGTATTTTGATGTAAGAATACTATCTCTTCCTAAAGCACACACACTAATCAAAAATAAGCTTTAAAATCAATTTAAATTTTCTTTTTGACAAAACATTTTTTGTAATAAAACAGTTCTGTTCATCGAATGAAATATTATAATCTGATTTAAAAAGGTGGTCAGACAATGGAACTATATTATTCAAACAATAATAATCTTTAATAAGTTTATATTATACTAGCGATATATAATAGGTGATTCTTTAAATTGACAACCACAATACGTAAGTGAAAACCGCACCCAAATCGATTAAGCCGTTTCTGGAATTACGCACGAACGCACAGACAAACAGACGCAAATTCTAAAAGTTCATTGTTTTGGGTTCTATTGCGCTAATAAAGACCCCCAATAATAGTTTTTCGCAAATATCTTCCATGTACAGACTGCGATCATTTACATTTTTATTATAATGTATAGATTTCATTTTTCTATCGATAGGTTGTATTATTTATTTGTCCCCAGATGTCCCGCTATGGAAAACTTTCCGTTGGGTCGACTGGGCTCGTCACCACGGACTTTACGAAGCTTACGACTGCCCAAGAACAAGATTCTTAAAAGTAAACGGTCTTTTGAAATTATCCCACGCTCCTCATCTATTGGACGTACAGAGTACAGACTCGGTAAAATATATTATACTATATAATTAACAATTTAATTAATTATAATATTGAATTTTTATTAGTCTATCCACAATAATATTATAAATGTGAATGTGTGTTTGTTTGTTTTTATTTCACGTTGAAATGGCTTGGCGTTGGAGGGTTGGAGAGTGACATAGGCTACTTTTTACCGCGGGAGATTATCTCTTTCACACGGGAAAATACGTTATAATACAATCCAAAAAAATGATTATAATTCAGAATTACTTGAAACTTGATAATATTTAATGGTCTTCGATAAAATTAAATAAACACATGTTTAAGCATTTTTCGAAATTCATCTTAAAAGGGGGTAAAATAGGGGATTAAAATTTGTATGAAAGTACCTTTTTAGAGATTTTTTTGTAGTTTTGGCGCGAGCGAAGCCGCGGGTTCTGCTAGTGTATTATAAATAGGCAAAGACAAAATAGTTCAGTACCTTTTCCTCCTCTGATTTTTCAACCGATTTTCTTTTTTTTTTTTTGTTTAACAGCTTTTAACGATTTTAGTGTTATCAGGTTATGAAAACTATTCGTTTTTGTTATGTAAGTTAATTCTATTTATATATATACATACTAGCATTGCCCGCGGCTCCGCCCACGTTCAGATGACCAAAAACTAAATTCTTAGGTTTTACATATTAGTATACTCTTACATTGCAGTTTTTGTATTTTTTCTCAGAAATGAGACATTTTCCCGCGGTAAAAAGTATCCTTTATGTTGACCTGGATAACGAGCTATCACTATACCAAATTTCATCAAAATCTCTTCAGTGGTTTTTCTGTGATGCAGTAACAGACAGACAGATAGACAGACAAAATATCAAAAAACTGTAGATTCGGCCTCTGTATCGATAATAAAGCCTATTTCCATAAGATTTTCCAAAAAATATTTAATGTACAGATTCGGCTTGGTTACCATTTTATTATATTGGTTTGATTATAAATTATTAAATTTTGACCACGAGGCGAACACTAGTAGATATAACTCCTTTATTTTCTATCTATAATTACACGTAATGATAATTTTAATGCGATACGAACCTCAGATTAAGGCTCTATTGAATTAAACGCAATATATGTATATATAATCATTTTCATTTCACAGATCACATATCAATTTAGAGAAGAAAATGACAGAACTAATCCTGCGGTGAGATATCAGTTTTAGCTATTAGAATATACGAGTACGTACCTACATAATATATTACAGTATATAATGGCAAAAGGAAGTGGTAGCCCAGAGGTAACACGTTCGCGTGGGAAACCGAGTGAAGCGGGTTCAAATCCCGGGTTTTGCACCTCTGATATTTTATGTGCGAATCATTTCCAACATGATTTCCACTTGCCTTACGGTGAAGGAAAACGTGAGGAAATCTGCATGTCTGAAAGAAACTAGCAAGATTTCGAAAGATATGTGTAGTCCTACAATCCGTACTTGGCCAGCGTTGTGGACTATGGCCTGATCCTCGGTCCATGTCCAGCAGTGGGACGTTAAATAAGGGCTTGAATACATACATATAATGGTACTCTTTATGTTAGCTCTGTAGTATACCAGAGCTCTTCTTGCCATTTTGCTGACAAATTTATCGAAGTAACTGATATTTCTATATATTATTTATTCTATATGTTAATGAAATTATTATGATTTTTCAATATTTATAATTGAACTCGCCGTAAGAAAACTATTTGATAAAACTAACTAAGCTTTCGATAAAAACATACTTTTGTATTTTTCAAGGGGTAATTTTCATAAAAACTTTTTTTATACTCTATAAGAGAAGCTCTCTATCAAGTTTTAATAATTTTGGAGTTTTTGACTAATAACACATTTAATGTATTAAATATTTTGTTTGTTTAAATAATCTTATATTTAAAAGACTAAGAAAGGTCTTAAAGATCTCAACCGGTCCACTACCGGCAACTCTACTACGGCTCAACAAACAAAAGAGGAACTACGTGAATGGATACAATACGACATGGTAAGTAATTATATACTTTGATATAATTTTGAAAGCTCAAAAAAAGCTTTTGCTGCAGCTTTTCACGCATATTTTATTTATATTATATAATAGCTCCACTTCGAAGGCGTTGTCAGTCTATTATAACTTTCAATAAATGATAAAATTCAATTATAAGATTTTTTCAAATCAGGCTGACGTTTCTAAATATTTGAATAAATTAAAAAAATATTATCATCATCATATATCTTAAAGCAATTGTGTTTGTAATTATTCTTAAATGGCTAATGGTTCTTAGCTATAATAGAACCCGGTAAGTTTTGCTGTTGTCGACTTGTAGAATTATTTTGTTTAAACATTACAAATGAAATCGTTTGGAAAAGACGACGTCATATATTGTTTTAAATACAATTGATGAAGAAACTCTTAGAAGTCATTAAAAAGAAAATTGAATTGAATTGATGAAACTAAAAATATTTTCAACTATAAGTATAAAACAAATAGATATAAATTAGGTACTATACAAGTCATGTCCGCGTGGAATTGTGGTTAGACTTACTGTACTTACATGTTATTATGCTATTACACGCTTTTTAAGCTTCACTTGTAACTATCTATCCAAATCTTGGAACTCGATTTCAACCTACATCTAATTGTCGTATCGTATACAATAAGTTTCATATAAACTTGTTGTATGTTTATTCCGGATGATATAGATATTATAAAAGTTGATGCCATAGAGATGATCTCATGAGGAAGCAAAAATCTTCAAGTTTGAAGATGGTTTTGTTTTATATTTGTATGGGATAAGTTATAATCTTATCAGACGCGTGATATTATAGCTTAAGTTTATAATTATTGTATACTAGCGACTCACCCTCGCTTCGCTCGGGTTCGTCCTCGCCCTAGCTTGATTACCAATAAAAACTTTCATCCCCATTTTCACCCCCTTAAGGGATGATTTCCAGGATAAAAAGTATCCTATGTCCTTCCCGGAGTCTCAAACTATCTTCTTACTAAATTTCATCTAAAGCGCTTTAGTAGATTCAGAGATTACCCCCTACAAAGTCACAAACTCACAAACTTTACCTCTTGATAATATTAGTATAGAAGTACAGATTTCAATAAAGTAATAATAATTACAATCTATACAAATATTATAAAGAGGCAGAGTTTGTTTGTTTGGTTGAACGCCCTAATCTCAGGAACTACTAATCCGATTTGAAAAAAATATTTTTGCTTCAGATAACTGGTTTATTGAGAAAGGCATACGCTATATATGATTCCGGAAATATGTGCGGTCCCCGTGGAATAGATTGGTTTTTGTCTAGGGACAAACCCGAAACGAAGAGAGGGTGAGTCGCTAGTTACAAAATAATTTATGTCATATAATCATTTCTTTATGTTTTAGATACAAAAGCTGATTAAACATACTTCAATTCTCTATTATCCATCAATGTACCAATTCACATCAGTAGCTAGCGCACCCCCAGTGAGAATCACAAGAGCACCGTTAAACAAAGCATTAGATATATTGGCACCAAAATCTGGACCACTTTACCTCCAAGTAGATGGGCCTCATGAAATTATTCTGAGAATATCTCTTAGTATGCTAAGTCCCAACGTACTTTTCAACTGTGGAGTACCAATTATAGACCAAATCGAACCGGCATATTTGTTATTGGAAGTTTTTGAGTGGTTTATTGATTGTAATATACCAAAGACCAAAGCGTTTATTCAAACTGGTGGCTATGAATCTGTTGAAGTTAGACTACGACCAGGCAGGCATGTTTTCAGGTTAATATTACGTATAATTTCATATAATATGAAATTATTTAAAATAAAACTATCTTTTCGGATTTCTTTGCTGATTTATTTTGATTTTTGGTTTCCGACGTTTCGAATGCTTTTAATAGCAATCATGGTCACGGGATACACTAAGGTTTTAGACGTCTCAAAGGCGTTATAATATAGTTGTTACAGACAGCCTATCATAGATAGTGTTACTTAAAATAATACATGAAATCACTAAATAAGCGAGTAATACAAACTAACATTTTTAGACTTTGGATACATTCTCGTATGAACTGGTACGCAATGCTGTTAAGTGAATCATCGTTATTGCTAGGAACTCGCGACTTAATCCAGTGTGCTGCTATCAAGGAATGTCCATGGGCGTCTAGGTTTCTAACAAATCTCGGTACAGCCTTCTCTAATTGGATAAGAGTGAATAGATCATCAATGAACATTTCTGGGAATGACTTAGAATTTTACAAGTACGCGTAAATATTTTGTACTTTTTGTTATACAAAATAAGGATATATATAATCTTTTTTAAGTTTCTTTATCTTATTTTGGGCCTTTTATATTTTAAACATGTCCTCCACATCAATATTATCTTTATTTGTACTTTTATATCTTTAAAAAAAACTTTTAAAACTATATTATTTTAGAATAAACATAAATATTTTTCCTAGATCCTATCAACCAGACTTGGAATGGAATTCAGAAATAGTTGGCTATAACAAAACTTTATTACATTGGATGTTCAGACAAGCTTTGCAATCTTTGTTAATTAAACGGCTCATGCCGACCGAATTCCGCACTGTTTGCGTCGTTTTAAGAAAATACTTACGTGACCCTGATTTTGGTTTCCCACCAAAACCTTTACCCACTAAATCACTAAAAGACATTATCTTAACTGATCCGTGCGACTGCATGATGCCTGAAGTTGAAAATCCCGAGTATTATGAAGAACTCATGGCGGAACAACAGGTATACTTGTTGTATTATCTGTAACCTGTGTCACTCTTCAATGAGCTGAATGGCTAATTGGGTGATTCAAGTAAGTTAAGTGAGCTTAGATCTGGTTTTATTTACACATCGTTAAGTTTCATAATTTTAAAATATGTACCATAGCATAGTAATAAGCCAAAAAATAACCCTAATTCTTTAAAAAGGCAAGCAAGCAACCAATAACACATATTGATAAAATTGTGATATTAAAAAATTAAAATTTTTGCTTTCATATATTAGGATGCCTCATTACTAACAAACATGAACAATCATCATCATCAGTCAATCATTACTAACAAAAAGAAGAATCAATCATTACTAACAAAAACTAACAAAGAGATAGTTTTATTATAAGTAATAAATAAATATGCTGTTTTGATAACGTTATTTTATATTTCTACGTGCAGATTGCAGAGGAAAAGCAATTGATAAGTCAATCAGTAATGGATCAATTGTTGACATCACCGAAGCCACCGATCTCATCGCAAGTCTGTGAATTAGCTACTGAAGAACTACCTTGCGGTCTGTTAAAGGAGGAAAGAGAGATAGTTGTTAGGAAACATGAAGCCGCTAAGGTCATTCAAGCGCATTGGAGAGGGACTTGGGCCAGAAAGTGTTTGTCGAACCATGTCGTGATTACACCCGAAGTTTCCAAAGTGGTAGAGTAATATGTATTACAAGCGACTCACCCTCGATTCGCTCGGGTTTATCCTTAGGTTGATTCCCCATACATATCCCCATTTTCATCACCTTACAGGATGATTTCCAGAATAAGAAATATCCTATGTCCTTCCCAGGGTCTCAAACTATCTTCTTTCCAAATTTCATCTAAATCGGCTCAGTACTTCTTGATTTTATTCGTTACATTTATACAAAAATATAAATCTTCCCCTCTTATAATAATAGTGTAGATATAGATATACTCACTACGAATCCTGTGAGTGATATATGAAAACTGTAACATGAATAAATGATTTTTTTTTCTTCATTTTAATAGAGGGTTTTTTCACAAAACAAATATGTCACCCTCATCATTGCTTACAAATATGTACATATAATGAATAAATGTTATTATTGCTTCTATACAAAAATGTCTCAAAGCCCTATCATATATACATATATTCATATTAATGTAGATTAGATATTCTTCTTACACTAATGAAAACGCAGACAAATGCTAATCAAATTATTACATTTCAATTTAGATAACGGAAAATGCTTTTGGGAATTTGGAGGCTTTATCAGCATTGATGAATGAATTCTTTAGAATGTATCCTGGAGCAAAATATGCATATTCTGTAGCATCAGCTCTTAGCGGTGTGTATGGTATTCAACAACATTCAGGAATATGCCCTATAACACCAAAATGCAAGTGGATCCCATATTTTCAAGGAGTTTTTAACTGTCACGTGCCAGTCAAAGTACATTTAGATGTTCAAAGTTCTATCCCACATAGTACTGTGGCTGTATATAATAATGATACAGGCGAACAAATGCCTCAAGCTTATAATGCGCATACAACTTTTCATTTTGAACCTAATGAACATGGGTAATAATCAACATTATAATTTTTTCTCCTCCAAAACTGAAATAAAGTAGGTCTTAGTTACTGTTGCTTATCTTAAATGATAAACAATTAAAAATCTTTAAAAAAAGGTAAAATTTACGTTTATGTATTTCTATTTTGTGCCATTTTTTTATATTTACATTTGATCTGTCTTCATCTCGTATTAAAAGTTAGTAAATTAGCATACAATTCGTAAATATGAAAGTTATTTGAAAATACTATTTACAAATAAATAAACCTAATACCTGCTCAACAAATATTTTAGTTATACAGTGATGGGGCATGGTACTTTAAATAGCCCATCTGGTATCAACTCTGAAGGCCATTGGCAATTAACTATCCTTTCGTCAATTGCAAATACTTTCCACGTATGTGACAATGAAGATTTTTGCAAAGAGCTTCCATTGGTAACAACCAATAAACTGCATATCGATGAAATATTTATACCAAATAGAAGAAATATCCTTGGTGGTATACAATTATTGGTGACCAAACATGAGGCTGTCAGTTTTAGGGCTGCGGCTACATCACCTGAGGTATAATATTGGCTATATATTAACTTGGTTAGATATTATGAATTAAACTTTTTCCGGAGAAAAATATTTTTTTTATACAAATAAATTTATTATATTTCTAATAGTGGAAAGGGGTAAAGAGGGGAAAGGGGGGGGCGGGTTTTTAGACCTATTTGCTGAAGTTCAAGATATTTTCATGATATTAGTACTATGAAATCTTAATATTCATATTTTTTCTAGTTGGAAATGGTAGCTGTACTCAAATCTATATCTAAAGATGGAGAAGTAGCAGAAATAAGAAGGTGTTCTGGAGTTGGCGAACTATATTGGCCGTACATACAATTAGAGCCTACAATTTTGATTCCCACTGTATTAGGAAAAGGACGGTCCATGTCGCAGGCCAATTTGGCATCGGTAATAGATTTTTGAGTTTACTATCTATGAAACACTTATTATAATTTTGTTGTATATACTAATTTTGTTTTACAGAATGTTCGAGAATCGTTATTTTCAAGCGCCCGATCCCTAAAAGTTACAAAACAGAAACAGTCAACCGCTGGAGGCAAGAACAGATCAAATACTAAGGCAAATATGTATAATACTATAATCTTATGATCAGGAGTAAGTAAGAACAAATATGAAAAAAGGTATTTATGCTTCCCTTTGCTGATGGGAAGTTCCATCGACCTTACTACTTGTAACAGAGAAAAGCCAAGAATAAAATACCTTTTCCAAAATCTATGTTAAGTTTAAATATGATTCTTAAATCCATGGATGGGTAATATCTAGGGATGGGATGACTTTTTTTCTCACAGTTAATTTAAAATTTATTGTGTAGTGTTGGCGAACTAGTCACGAAATAAACTTTCGCATTGCCGCATGCTACAAATGTCAGAATTGCATGTCTAGATATTTATTATTGTTTTTATCTAAGTTTTTTTTGTTTGTGTATTTTGGGATTCCCAATACAGGATGGAAAACCTGCAAGTATAAGGGAATATTAATAATTATATAGGATTTTATAATTGTTATTTTTATGTATAGATCAAAGAAGCCAAAATCGTGCAAGTGGAACCTAAACAGTATTGTATTGAGTGAGTATTTTTTTTAAATATGAAGTATTAGATTTTTCTCAATATTTATAAATCGTGACAGCTTATAATATTGACATTCATAATAGGTATTTTAATATATTTCAACTTAGTGTAATAATAAACGTAACTTTTTTGTTAAAGTCAGGAAATTTTGTTACCATACAATATGGATATATCGATATATTCATATCTAAGTCTAAATTTAACCCATAAGTTTCATTATAAATATAACTATGAGTTTCTTTGTTAGTTTAAGACCCTTTTACGTCACAACAGAACAATGTGACGACATGATTTTATGTATATAAAATTTATACTCTTAGAAAGACATTGGCTACTTTTACGAACTTCAAAAAAGAGAAATTATCAATTCGGTTGTATGATTTTAAAGCTTTGTAGGCAGTATATCTTTTTGGTTAAAGGTTAATGGTTATATTAAGTAATTCCTTTGGTACATGAAATCTTAATTATTGTAATTTTTGTTTTGTTTATAATGATGATTTTAATTTTACTTCTTATTATTATGTATTATTATCAATTTCTTTTGTATTATGACATTTATCTATAATTATTATCATTATTTTTTTTAATTTTTGTACTTTTAATACATGAATTTTTAAATGCTATGTACACTTATAATTGACATGCATATAAGGTATATTACTATTACATTAATTAAATTGAAAATGTTTCATATGTATATTGTAAGTGTGCTTTTTACAAATAAATAAATAAATGAAATTGTCCTCAAAAAACGTTATTGCAAGTTATTACTTGAGTGATGCCAGGGAAGATCAATATTAAAAAAATAAACAAGTAAAGAAAGTATAGAGAAATTACAGTGATTTACGTTTTTATAAAAGGTATTCATATAACACATGTTAGGGTTTTTACGGTCCCGAACAAGGTCTGCACTCTGCGCATTGCGCTTCATAAAGTATGGAAGAATGTACGTCTAGTTAAATTTATTGCATCAAGGGAATGAGTGTTACTTTTCTAGGTAATTTACATATCAATAGGCAAAGACATAACTTTTCAGTACCCTTTTCTTCTCTGTTTGTTAACCGATTTACGTGTTTTTTTTGTGTCAAACGAGCTTTAGTGCCAAAAAAATTGTTTCCGAAACCGTTAGTTTTTTATACTCGTAGATAGTTAAATTCTATTCATATATGATTTCCTCAAATTTTCAATAACTATTGTGGTTGAATTTCGAACACTCAGCGAACACTAGTATAAACTTCTATACTAATATTATAAATGTGAGTTTGTAGCATGATGTTTGTTACTTTTTCATGCCAGAACTGTTAAACAGATCTGGATGAAATTTGGCACAGAGATAGATTATAGTCTGGATAGCACATAAGCCACTTTCTATCCTAGAAAAATGTACGGCTCGCTTGCGATAGGTTTGTTTCTGTTTTCCTTGATAGATTCCTAGTTTAAAATAATTAGATAAGTATAACGTATTGAAAATCTTATAATGATAGAGTAATGAGGCATTTAACCTCAGCTATCATCTTAACATAACTATAATTTATTTATTATGTTACGTTGAAGTAGTAGTTGTCGGGTTTCAGTTTTAAGAATTATTTTTTACTAGCATTGCCCGCGGCTCCGCCCGTGTTCAGATGACCAAAACAAAAACTTAATTCTTAGGTTTTACAGATTAGTATACTCTTACATTGCAGTTTTTGTATTTTTCCCAGAAATAAGACTTTTTCCCGCGCTAAAAAGTATCCTATATGTTGACCCGGATAACCAGCTATCGCCATACCAAATTTCATCAAAATCCCTCGAGTGGTTTTTCTGTGATGCGGTAACAAACAGACAGACAGACAAGAACTCTAAAAACCATAAATTCGGCCTCTGTATCGATAATAATGTTTATTTCAATAAGATTTTCCAAAAAATATTTAATGTACAGTCGGCTTAGTTAGAATTTTATTATATGTATAGATTTAAAGTTTAAAGTTAAAGTATACATTGAGAGCTCCATATCATTTTAATGAAAAAAAATATACGTACTATGTTAAAGGCAGTTTAAATAGTTGTGATAATAGTTTAATTTGCCTTATTTATTCTTTCCCTCATGTTTATATGTAAAAGTCTAGTCAATATGTGGGTAGCATTGACACATCTCCACGAAGTAGGCCAGTGTCAGCCATAGGTATACTGCATCGATTAAATTTATTCTCCAAGGTTTATTAAATCAAGAAACAAATCTATCCCACGGGAACCGCACATTTTTTCCGGGATAAAAAGTAGGTAAATATACAAATATCTAAACTTTCATATTTATAATATTAGTAAGAAGTAAGGTTTACTCCCATTTTACACATAATTTCATATAGTTTTAATGATCTTATTTCACCGACTAAACTACTTCGTGTCTTCTCTATTCTACATGACTTTGGCGAATTAATCTATCCTCAATTGGCATGCTTTGAAATCATTTATAAGAAATTTTGATGACACGTTTGGCTCGATTTGTAGTGACCCTACTTATTGTACCAGTGGTCGCGGGTTCGAGTCCCGCTAGGGGCATTTATTTGTGTGATGAGCACGAATGTTTGTACTCCAGTCATGGGTGTTTATATTTATAATATGTATGTATTTAAAGTTATATATATATATATGTAGTGTATCAGCTATCTGGTATCCATAACACAAGCCTCCTAGCTTACCATGGAACTAGATGTTGCTGTGTGTTAATGTCCCAACAACATATTTATTAAAATTAAATTGAATTGAGAATTAATTCTGTAATATATTACACTAGAGTAATAGCGCCAAATGGATGGCCTTTGACTCTGGCCCAGTGGAATAGAGTCAACGAAGTCCGCAATACCCAAGACTATATCAAGGTTGAGGTGCCCATGAAGAAACCATTTAAGGAAAAGGTAATTAAAACGTTTTTATGTACATTTTTAAACGATTTAAAAAAAAATGCTTATAGTGTGTTAAGTGTTTTTTTGTGTATGACACTAAATCTACGCCAATTTTAAAAAATTTACACGATTCTTATTCATGAATATATATAACTTATACGTATGGATGGATGGTCTTTACATTTTCAAAATAAAACTTCACATGTAAGAAAATATCAAATTAATTACTTTTAGAATAATTTTAAACTCATTATTAAATAATACATTATTTATTATCAATATGACAATTAAATTATTTATAATTATTTAATAAACACATTGATATAATTATTCACATTCCATGATTCATTTGTTAAAATTGGCTTCTTATTTTCTAATTATATTCGTCCCATATGTATATATCATAATCAAAGTCTCAATACTAAATAACAATTTAGACAACATTTAAGTATGATCAGCCAGATCTTTTTATAATTTATTTACAGGGTGCAGCAAAGGACAAAGACAAAACCATTCCATCGTCAACATACCAACCCCAGCCAGGAGATGCTTATATTGAACTAGAATGTTCCATATCTGGAGATGGAGTTACTGCTAAGCGAGATGATGGAAGAGACGTAGAATTTGCACTTGCTATAAAAAATTGGGATGCCAGTGAACCAGGACGGAATTTGCGGGGAGCTCAAATAAGGTAAAAACCTTTTAATCTCTCCACGACCGCGAACACGCCAGCGTTACAGATCACAAAAGATTTCTTAGAAATTTAATTAATATCTTAGAAATTTAAAACTTAACATGTTTACAAAAATATAACAATGGATTTGTACAAGATTTTTCCGAATTTTTCTGATTACTCGTATATGTTTCTTAAGAAAAATGTTGATAATTTTATTCAGAGTACCGATTTTGTTACACAAATTACTCACATTGTTTCGCTTAAGCTCTTAACATTGCACCGAAGCACTGCTTCTGCAGTAATGTTAAGTCATTTCTGCAGAAGTTAAGTCCAACATAAACATGTCCTGGATGAGAAAAATTGCATATAGAGACACTCATTTTATATTAATATTTACTGTTAAGCATTTAATAAGGAAGTTTTTTAAGGATATACATTTTTCAGAAAAGAATTCAGGGCCGAGTTCCTTGAAACACTTCCTCCGCCACCTTCTGAAAGTTCTCCAACAATAGGAGAGGTGAAAAGTTTTACAGACTTATTTACATAAATAATATTATAATAGTACGTCTGTCTTTATCTTTATTTAGAGATGAAAAATTCAATATTTTCATATTCCATTAATAACAAAAAATCTTTTGTCTCTACATTTCTAACATTTTTGTTACTTATAGCATTTATATATATAGATAAAACCATAGCCAATACCTAGTGTTGTATACATATATGATATAGTTTATAATATATCGTTGTATTGTTCAAAATACAGTAATTATAATAAAATTATAATTATTTTTAGGAGATATGTGCTGAAGAATTAATGGGAGAAGATGAAAGTAAGGCTTAGAGATTTTATTTAGATATATCGAATTTGTTTAAGAATCTTCAGTTGAACCACGGTAATGTAATGCATAGTTGAACACTATCAGTGACAGACAGATATTTGACATCATTACAAATAAAATATTGATATGTGACCGCTAGTTAGTCTAGGAGCGATAATCAAGTAGCATCATGCATTATAAGTAAATCCTATAGCTTTTATAAAAAGCAGTTTTGGAAATTCATGTAAAGTCCACCAACACGCATTTGGCCAGCGTGGTGGAATATGGCGTATAATATATAGCGCGCTGTAATAAAGATTTTTAGTAGTCTTTAAAAATGTTTTAGAAGAACATCCGCTTCCGCTTCAGCAGGGCCCTACGCCGGCTACTGAAAGTGACAGTAAGTGTCCTAAATTACTTGTTGTAATTGTTATGAATTTTAAACTATGAAAAACATTCATGCCTAAATTATTTTAGTTGATCTCAACTTAAGTTTGCCACAGATCACTGACAAATGCTCACTTAGGTGATTTACGTATTTTTACTCAAGTATCATAAACGAATCGAACGTATAGCACTCGAAGATTTTAATAATGCCAATTAAAGCGTTCCACTATCCTGGTTTCGTCATAAGTTTAAATATATGTATGGTATCAAAATGTTGTGGGTATATTATTATCCGGATTTCACATACTGATTTTCAAATCGTTATGACAATTGGAAGTTGGCTAAAATTGAATTCCAAGATTTGTTACATAGTAGTTATATGTGAAGCTAATAATCCTTAAGAGATAATTTTAGGACTAAAAAGTATTCTATGTCCTTCCCCGGGTCTCAAACTATCTTCTTATACAATTTCATCAAAATCGGTTCAGTAAATCCAGAGAGAGAAACTCACAGTTCACATACTTTACCTCTTTATAATATTAGTATAGATATTTTTATTCGTATTATAATTTTACAGTATTTTAAACTAAAATTATGTTTGTATAACATAGTTATTAGTCAAATATTTTATCACTTTTTATAGTTATTGAAATGTCAGCGGAAACTGAAGAAGAAGCTAAGTATCTAACAATGCCAGAACAGTTGAAAGATAAATTTATACCCTTATATTTTGTACCGCTTTGTACTAAAGACGTCGATGAAACTCAAAGGTAAAAAACAGTTTCGTAAAGTCCATGTTTTTTCCTTTTTATAATAGAGCTTTATAAGGCTTGTTAAAGTTACTTTAGACGCTCATTGCTCAACTAGAAATGAAGCTATTGAAATTAAAAATAATAAGAATCTTTTTCTTTGTTATAGAAAAGCTTATGGTTGTTTATGCTATTTTTGTAGTAATTTCCTTGGCCGATGATGACATTTCTATACATACCCATAATAAAATTCTAACCGAGTTGAATCTGTACATTAAATATTTTTGGGAAAATCTTATTGAAATAATCATTATTTTCGTTTTTAGAAATTTTGTCTGTCTGTCTATCTTTCTATCTGGGAGCGCGTCATGAGAAAACCACTGGATTGATTTTGATGAAATTTGGTATAATGATACTTTTTACTACGGAAAAATATCTCATTCCTGAGAAATCTATGCTAGAAATCTATACTGACGGCACGTTTGGCTCAGTTTGTAGTGACCCTAGTTGCTGTGCCAGGGGTCGCGGGTTCGAATCCCGCTGGGGGCATTCATTTGTGTGATGAGCACGAATGCTTGTACTCCAGTCATGGGTGTTTATATTTATGATATGTATGTATTTAAAGTTATATATGTGTAGTGTATCAACTATTTAGTATCCATAACACAAGACACGTAGCTTACCATGTAACCAGATGGTGCTGTGTGTTAATGTCCCAACATATTTATTTATTATATTTGTAGTTACAAAGTAATCGTTAGATTATAGTAAATTTTACTGATTTCATGTTTTAGGGTTATTATCACTCCTGAGATGGCTGAAACAATCAGAATGCATCGTCAAGATCGAATAAAGTTGGCCCTAGAACACATGAGAGAAATGCAAGAGTATAACGAATTGTACGTGCTTGGACGACAAAAAGAGAGATGTCGTCTTTTGGAGAAACTATTTGTAGGTGTGTACTCAAGTGTATCTGTACTAAGACGAATATTTAACATTTTAAATAAAACTCTTTAAAAAAAATGTATTTTTTTAAAATTCATTTTATTTTGTGGGTAGGCTGTCTGTAACAACTATATAATGCCTATCAGGCGTCTGACACCTCAGTCCTTTCCGTAACTATAACTGCTGTAAAACATTCAAAACGTCGAGAAATAAAAATCAAAGTAAATCCGCAAAAACCTGAAAAGATAGATAGATATAAAATGTATCTATCAATAATTCATAGCATTATCATAGCAAAATTTAATAATTCATTATTAACTTAACACCTCCAGGTAAATTTCTAAGAAATTAATAAAATTTCTAAGAAATCTATTGTTAACTGACACGCCGGCGTGTCCGCGGTCGTGGAGGGATCAAATTTACTTTATTGCATATAAAAAAATTGTTTTGAATTACGACTTAATATAACTTTTTTTGTATCCAAAATATTTTCTTGTTTTAAAACAATAATGTTAATATGTAAATATTCCAGTAATTGTAGTATTTATATTTAATATTGTTTGTTTTGACATCTGCTGTTAAATATAATAAATAACTCCCAATTAGACTGTCCATTGGATTATTATAGTAGAGCTCATGGACTTTCGCCCAGACCAAACTCAATGTAAATGTATTTCTTAAGTGGAACTCGAACCCACAACCATCATAAAGATGTGTACTCTATTATAATAGGCTGTTTTCCAAAAATTTTCTCATAATGTGTGAAAATGGGTAGATTTACCCTACCCTGAAGATGCACTAACAACCCTTTCAAGCAGTGCCCGAGTTGAGAAACGTGACTATTAAAGTCAAATGGTCACACTTCACTCATCTTGTATTTAGTTTTCGCTTTGTATCTGTTAGAATTGGTATTTATCAACATATAATTATGTTATTTATTTAAGCCCTCCGCGACCGCGGACACGCCGGCGTTACAGTTAACAATAGATTTCGTAGAAATTTAATTAATTTCTTAGAAATTTACTTGGAGGTGGTCTTATATGTTGACCCGGGTAAACAGCTATCACCCCCCCCCCCCAACGTGCGTTCACCTTGTCGTGGTGGGGGGGCTCAGCAGTGCCCGGCAATACAGCCGGGCGCGAAGCCAAGAAACGCACAGGGAGGTGGACTTCGGTGGGCGGTGGGAGGTGGCCCTCGTCGGTGGGCGGTGTACCATGCGGTACTTCTCTGATAGCAGAGTGGACCTTGGAGCAACCCCGTGGTAGTTATGGTCTGCTTCGGCAGACCTGCCGTCGCGTCGGGGCGTCGTAGTTGAATGCGTAAGCGATCCTGCGACGCCCCATTAAGACGTTTGACTCAGAATTTTATTATATGTGCTCATATAGATTTATCGATTTTGTTGTTTGGTGTTGTAGAAGTTTCAACCCATAAGGGATTTTTGTTTAAATTACGAAAATATATGGAATAACTGTCTTACTATTTTCAGATAACATTGGAAAATCCAAAATATTTAATATCTTATTAAGTTTAATAAAATATTTACAGATGCACAGTGGAATCCAGAACTAAATGAAGTTCTAGAAGAGAGGGATGATGCGATAGCACGCGAAGCACTAAGTAGAACACTGTCTGCTAGCAAGAAAAAGCAAGAGCAAAAAAAGAAGTAAAGTTAAAAACAGTGATAAGTCTATTTTAGAAGTTTTAAGTTATTAAAAATTGTATGTTTCACGTACATTTTAATATAAGACTTCAAAAGAAATATAATTTTGTTTATATTGTATTTATATTAATAATATAAATAATTCAGCTGTTTAAACGACCTCCTAGTTATAACTTATAGGTCTTAGAATATAAATGCTTAAAAACTCTTTATACATTACCAGTATCAAATATTTTTTGAATATAGATCTTGCTAACGTTATCTATCTATGAGTAACAAAACTAAAGTACTGATTGATGAAAAAAATGTTCCGCCTTAACAGCTAAACACAATGTACAAAATTTAACAACTTACATATGTTACATCAACAGATTAAATTACATAGGTACATACAAAATCTATACATATAATAAAATTCTAACTAAGTCAAATCTGTACATTAAATATTTTTTAGAAAATCTTATTGAAATAGACATTATTATCGATACAGAGGCCGAATCTATAGTTTTTGGAATTTTTGTCTGTCTGTTACTGCATCACAGAAAAACTACTGGACGGATTTTGATGAAATTTGGTATGATGATAGCTGGTTATACGGGTCAACATATAGGATACTTTTTACCGCAGAAAAATATCTCATTTCTGAGAAAAATACAAAAACTGCATTGTAGGAGTATACTAATATGTAAAAAGTTTGCGTTTTGGTCATCTGAACGCGAGCGGAGCCGCAGGCTATGCTAGTATATATATAATAATAATATAAGAATTACTAGTTAAGATTTTATATTATAAATATACAATTTTTTAACTTTGGCGTTTCCATCCCCCGGCAAGTTTTTATCAAAGGCCCTTAATGGTGTTCAACTAAAGGAGTAAAGAAAAAACTATGGTTCTTTGAAGAACAATAATGTTTGAGAAGTGTATTCGGGTGCGGTACTTTTTCGACTAGCGTTTTTCCGCGGCTCTACACACGTAGTTCAATAACCGTTTTACTATATCTTTAAAAAATATAGCCTACGTATTACTCTTTATGTATAAACTATATTACTGTAAAGTTTCATCAAAATCCGTTCAGTAGTTTTTGCGTGAAAGAGTACCTATATCCATCCATCCTCATAAACTTTCGCGTTTACAATATTAGTAATTTTTTACCGATTTCTAAAAGATTTAACTTAATAACGGTCGGTTCTCTCGTATAAAATATTTTGCTTTGTTTCATAAAGACAAAATTGGAGATACTCTCAGTAATATAAATGTAAATGAATTTGTGAAACCAATTTTTCATATCACCGAGCAATTTTTCAACAATGTTTGTACTTTTTAGACACAACGCTATCAAGTGACATGACTTTTTTGAATTTATTTTAAAATAAATTGGAAATATAAAGCTTTTATCTATGCACAAGTATAGTATTATATACATATAATATGTGATCTTAATATACATTAGGTATAATAAAATTCTGAGTCGAATCTGTGCATAAAATATTTTTTGGAAAATTTTATTGAAATACTCTTTATCGATACAGAGGTCGATTCTATAGTTTTTAGAATTTTTGTCCGTCTGTCTGGGAATGCAACACGATAAAACCAATGGACGGGTTTTGATGAAAATTGTTGAATATTTCGCTAGTCAACCGGGTCAACACACGGGCTACATAAAATTTGCCTGATTACATAATAATATTAATAATATAAACGGATTTTAATTGAATTAATTTGGAAAAAAACATAGGTAAGCCGCTTGTTTCCTTTAAATAATTAATAATTTAAACCTTACGCCCCAACAATAAGACATAACTTTAAATTCCTATAGAAATTTTGTTTTCCTTTATGTACAAAACAAACTTTATTCATATTCCTAGACCTAGACAGGTATTCTTCAAGCACTATCAACCCCTCAAACCATAAAACCTGCCATCATTACGTCTACATGTCGCTTCTATACCCAGAGGCTACGTAGAATACGGTCCTAATTGCACTGACCCTATTCTAGCGGCTAGAAACTTAAAAAAAACAAGATTTTAGACCTCTTCAGTACAATTTGTCAGTATTTTGGCTAGTTAATGTGTGAAAACTGTTCGATTTGTGTAAATTTTGTTAAGTGGCTGTGATAAAATTAGCTAAAATTAACTTTTTCTTAAAGGTATGCGAGCAGATAGATTTTTCATTTAAATAAAGGTAATTTATTCAATGAACTAAATTACTTATAACTTGAATACATTTATGTAATAGAAAAACAACTATTCATTTAACTAATTTTTTTTATTTATGTTGTACTATTTTTTTGTGTTTTTTTTTCTATTAAGAGAGGTAGGTCTTGTCAGTTCCCATAAACAATATATGCCATTGCCAAATTACATCGAAATCTGTTCATCGTAAAATAGTTAACAAACTGGTAAACATAGTAACATTTCTATAATAGCATTACTGTTTTTAAAGCAACCCGTTTTAAATATTTTTAAATAATAATTATTATTAGCAATAACATTTTTTCTAAGCAAGTTTCCTGCAACTCCATTTCAAAACCTAGTTTTTTTCAGGATAATAACTCTTCAATCAACGAGTAAATTAAAAAAAGATCCATCCACTATAATTTTAAACCATTCTCTTATTAATTAAAATTTCTTCACTGCATTTTCCGAGTCTAAGTAAAAAAAAAGGCAATTTTAATTCAACCTAGCCTCTGCAAAGGCCAGACAAGGCAAATAAGAGTAAAAACAGTGCGCCAAAAGGAATATCGTGGACTAAAATCCAATAATACTTGTGATCTCTATAGATTTTGGGGCGGGGATTATAAAGATTAGTTGTAAAATAGATGTTAAATTATTCTTTGGTTTGTGAAATATCTGCGTGGATTAATATTATCTATACACTATTATATTTGTTTGTTTGTTTGTTTGTTTGTTTGTTTGTTTGTTTGTTTGTTTGTTTGTTTGTTTGTTTGTTTGTTGGTTTGTTTGTTTGTCTTTGAAAATGTTAAAAGGAAAAGGGAACAGTATAAGTACTACTATTTACTAATAGATCGCTACGCTTGCTTTAGGTTATTTTCTTATACTCCATTTCCTCCCTTTCAAGTAGATATAGGAGCAAAATTTTGTGAAGGTTCCTTCGTTAGGTTTTTGTTATAGATTTTTTAATAGAGAAATTTTTTAAGTATAAAATGTATATTTCCGACTTCAAAAAGTAATAGTACTCAATTCAGATATATATTTTCTTGATACCCAATATTTTTGCTATCTATGCATTGTAATCCAATTTCAAATTTTTTACGTGATTATCAGTAGCTTTATGGTGAAGGAAAATATTGTACTTTAGAAAATAAAACAACCAGCTTAGTGCTTTCGCATCGAACACAAAAAGTGGCAGAGTTTATTTCATAGACAACAGATCATAGTGTATAACTATAGATAATAAGCATTATTATCATTTATCTATGACATGTATTTTTCATATTAATTTATCACACAAAAAAAATCTTGTTATATTTTAATACAATAATAACAGAAAACATCATAAGGAAATCTGCGTATCTGAACCCTGAGGGAACCTAAATAGTTTTTGAAAGACATGTGAAATTCGCTAACCTGCACTTGGCCAGCTTAGTGGACCAGTACAATGGATGTCCAGTAGTAGAACGTCTAGAAGGGCTAAATAATTTGTCTTTGGTTACGGGACGCTATAGAAGGAAGCTAATGAAAGCAAACCGAATTGCGTGAAATCTTGGGTGATATCTATATCTATACATATAATAAAATTGTAACCAAGCCGAATCTGTACATTTATTTATTTATTTATTTATTAGCTTTTCAAGGGAAACAAACAGTACAATAAAAAAATTACATTCTAAAACATATAAAAGTTATGCTAAAAACCAACCAAGTTTCCACAGATTCACAACACATAAACAAAAGCTTACCACCACGATAAGATGATACATTATTATGTAAAAATTTTGAATTTTTAAAAAAAAAACTAAATGTTACCACTTAATAAAACATCAAGTAATTATGCAGTTAAAAGTTAGAAGTAACAATATACATACAACCTACAGCAAAACTACCTATTATAAATTAAGATTTACAATATTTTTTTTAAAACTATTATATTTAAGATGAAAGATATCTAATTTACTATATTTTAAATTAAACTTGTTACATGCACGAGATACAAAATTATTTGAAGCATACTTCGTTTTAGCCTTACGTATTGCGAAAAGCGGTTTATTTCGTGCACCTAATCTGTGACACGCAAGATTCACTTTGCTTAAAAGTAGGGGAGAGTCGATTATATTATGTAGTAATTTATACAACAACATTTGATCTCTTATATCACGGCGTTTTTCGAGGGTATTACTGTTTAAGTTTTTAATAATGGAATCTACGGATGAATTATAAAGTTTTAAGTGACGCAGAAATTTTTTATTAATTGCTTCAATCATTTTAATATAAACTTTGTATTGAGGATTCCAACATGAAGAACAATACTCAAGAATAGACCGCACCAGAGAGTTAAATAGTAAAATAAAAGTTGTGGACTGTTTAAAATCTTTCGAGATACGCATAACAAAACCTAGCATTTTGTAAGCTCTTTGAGTTATAATACTAATATGTGACCCCAGTACCAGCTTACTATCCAACTGAACACCAAGATCACGCAATTCATTTACTCTTACTAGTAAATTGTCATTAAGCTTATAATTAAAGAGGATGGGATTCTTTTTTCTAGTAAATGAGATGACGTTACATTTCCTGATGTTCAGGTAAAGATCATTTGCTTGACAATATGAACTTAGCCTACACAGATCTTCTTGAAGTAGATTGCAGTCCTCTAAAGTTTTAATAGACCTAAAAATTTTCATATCATCTGCGAAAAGGAGAACTTTGGAATTATGGAAGCAGGATATGACATCATTTATAAATAATATAAACAGCAACGGACCAAGATGCGAACCCTGAGGAACACCTGAAGAAACAGGGAGGAATGATGAACAGTATCCTTTTA